AGGCAGGAAGGCACGGAGGGTTGGAGGTAGGGAGAGAGGGAGGGAGGGAAAGACGAGAAAAAGGTGGGACGGATGGTATGTGGGCCATGAAGGAAGTGGGATGAGGACACAACTTCGTTCCTCTGGTGTATGCGTGGCAGATGGGCCACGTAAGATGCCGTCTTCGTCGTCGTCGTCGTCGTCGTCGTCACACAAGCATAACTCAACAGCAGGTGGTCTTATCCATTCATTTCTGCATGTTTCATCGACCAGCGCTAATGAGTGCAAATCGATACTACTACTACGAATGCTGCTCGTAGTGGTGGTGGTGGTGGCGGTGGTGGCGATGACGGTCATCTATCGACCGATGCCCCAACGCGAGAGAGCGATCGAGTGAGTGAGTGAGTGAGTGAATGGTGTGAAATTGTGTAGGTGGTGTGGGAAGGTAAGCTTAAGACGACAACTGAAAGTGTTGCGAAAATGTGGCACTGGGAGATGGTTGATGCGTGGAACAAGTACTTAGAGAGGAAACGTAATGCCACCACCACCACCACTGTCACCGGTACCACGTCCCTGGCGCCACTGTGTTAGGAAGAGGGGGAAAGCTGCTGCTGCTGCTGTTGTTGTTGTGGTTGTGATTGTGGTTCTTCACTGACCTCCTTCTTGCTGCCTTATTCACGCCGTCAAGTCCCTCACTGTATGCATGCTATTTACGTGTGGCTATGCTGCTACGTCTTTTACTACATTTCTGAGTGTCACAACCTCAACCCATGATGTGGTCTGTTAGAATGTTGGAGCCTAAATACGGCTACGTTGCACAGCACAGATGCTCTTCCTTCTGCCATTGATATCCTTCAGTGAGGCATCGAAGTGTGAGCTTTTGCGCAGCTGCACGTCGTGACAATTTATCATCTTCACTATTTCTTTATTGTATTGTATTAATCACTTAATTAAATAATGGGCACATCTGCATAATGGACCGCAGACTATAGTCGTTAACTTACCTTGACGTTCCATATCTCTATGCTCCTCCCCTCCCCTCTATCCCCCACCCCCTGCTCATCGCCAACCCCACTTCCGCGTCCATCATCATGCAGACCTAGACAGTGCCCATCATGCTTTTTTGCGTGAGTGCGAGACATGAACTCATCCCGTGACAGTTGATGGACGCTAAGTCCAGACAACGTTGTGCGCTCAAAAAAGGCTTTGTGAATTTGCCGTCGCATATTTTTTTTTTATTTGAAGCGTCTTTGTGTAAAATTAATTAACTTAGGACAGCGCTGCGGCTACCG